GAGGGTGAGTGAGCACGGGGCCTCGCCTGGGGCAGGGGGCGGGGCTCCACTTTGGCTCCGTCCCTCCCGCTGGGCTGTGCTCGGCGTCCTCGCAGAAAGGAACCGAGGAGCTCGGGGGACCATGGAGTGCGAGATCCGGCCCTGGCGGCCGCAGGACTGCGCCCACGTGCTGCGCATGATCCGGGTAATGGGGGTGGGTTGGGAGGGAGGAGCCCAGGGTCCGGGGCCCTGACCCCGCCTTCTTCCCCCCCCCAGGAGCTGGCGGAGTTTGAGCGACTCCCGGAGCAGGTGGAGACCAGCGAGGAAGGTGACGCCCCGCCTCTCGCTTCAGCTGCGCCCTCAAATAGTGACTGGGGCAGGGCTAGGCTAGCCTGGGAGGGGAGTGCTGGGGGCGGGAGGGCTCCGCTCAGCCTGCCTCAACTTACCTACTCTGCCTCCCAGTGCTGCGCACGGATGGGTTCGGGCCTGAGCCCTGGTTCCAGTGCCTCGTGGCCGAGGTGCCCCCCCAGCACTGCAGTGCAGACGGTGGGTACCGGGGGCGGGGCTTGGGGTGCAGGGGGCGGGACTTGAGGTTGGGGGGGGCAGATAGGGGTTGGGAGCTGGTGGGGGTTGTATCTGGCTCTCACTCCACCCCTCCTCCCCCAGGGCACGTGGTGATTGGCTATGGCCTGTTCTACCCGGCTTACAGCACCTGGCATGGCCGCAGCCTCTACCTGGAGGACCTCTACGTCATGCCCGAGTACCGCGGTGAGAGGACCCGGGCATCTGGCTCTGTGTCTTGACCACCCCTGGACCTGCTGCCCTCCTGGAGCTGGAGGGAACCCAGGTGTCCAGTCTCCCAGCACCCCCCACCCTAACCCTGCTTCTCCCTGTGCAGGGAAGGGCATTGGAAAGAAGCTGCTGAGTAAAATTGCGGAGGTGGGTGCTGGCACAGGAGGAGTTAATCCTAGGGTTGGGGTCCCAGAGAGAACTCAGGGGTCTGGGCACCCTGACCCCCACTGGAGAGCCCGGGTGCCTGCTCCCAGTAGAGAACCGCGGTGTCCGGTTGGCAGGCAGGCATGGCACAGAGCTGCGGGGAGCTGCGCCTGGCGGTGCTGGACTGGAACATGGCAGCCGGCAGGTTCTATGCAGCGCTGGGGGCGCAAGACGTGACGGGCTCTGAGGGCTGGCGCTGCCTGCGGCTGCGTGGGATAGCACTGCGGCGCCTGGCGGGTCCCATCCCTGCCCCTGCCCAGGACCCAGGCATCCAGGACCTTCTGACCTAGTGCAGGACCCAGGCATCCAGCCCCCCCCCATTTCATCGCATGGAATAAACCGGTGATGTCATGAGGGACACGTGTCTGTTCTTCATTGTGGGGGCCACGTTGCCCCGGGGCAGGCACATTTCACATGATCCTTTGCAGGCTCAACCCCTTTCCCCTGATCCTCTCTGGAAGGGGGCTTTCCATATCCCATGAGGCTGCAGGACTCTTACCCCCGTTTCAGGCCCAGGTGGCTGTGGGGCATGGAGCAGTTCCATATCCCATGATGCTGTGGGGCACCTGATATCTTCATAGCCCATGATGCCCTGGGGTATGTAGTATCTCAGTATCCCATGTTCCATATATATCATGATCCTCAATGGCACAGGGCATGTCCATATCCCATGATCCTCTGGGACATGCAACATCCATCTCCTATGATCCTCCAGGGAGCACAGCATTATAATATCCCATGATCCTTTGGGGCACTTGGCATCTCCATATCCCACAATGCTCTGGGGTACTTGGAGCCTCTGTATCCCATGGTCCTCTGAGGCATGCAACATCTAGCTCCCTTGGGACAAGTATCCGATGATCCTCTGAGGCATTTGGTGTCTCTATCCCATGAGCCTCTGGGATTATTTCCCATGATTCTCTGGGACCCTCGTTGGCTCCGCCTTCCAGGAGGTCCCACAGCGCTCCCCACCCCAGTTTGGCTCCGCCCCGTTTAGCCTAACGAAGCAAGGCTGGCGATGACGCAAAGCGCCCAAGGAGTAACGTCCCTGTGACCTACGCTGAGAAGGGTGGGACGCGGTGACGCAGAACAGATGGCCCGGGAGGATGCGCTCAAGACGCGGTGACGCAGCACGTACGGTGGGGGAGGAGACGCGATGATGCAAACGTCCTCGTGCGCGGGGGGGCGGGGCTCTGCTGCCCCCCTTCCCCCCCCGCGTCATCCCAGGCCGCCGGCTGATGACGCCATCAGGCGGCGCCGGCTCCTGGGAGGCGGCGGCGGCGGTACAGGGAGCCTGAGCGAGGCTCCCCCCCGCCCCACGGGGGTGAGTGCGCGCGGCCCCCTTAGCCGGGTGTTCCTACTTGGGTAGGAACCTCCGTGCTGGGGGTCCCACTCGTGTCCGCTCCTCCCCTCCCCCCAGGGCCCCGCCCCCCTGGCTCCAGCCCCTCTGGCTGTAGGCCCCTCCCAGGGGCCCCCTCGCCCCGGCTCTCGGCTCCCCCAGGCCCTCATCCCGACTGGGTTTATGTCCCACCCCCGCTCCCTTCCCGTCTTGGCTCTAGGGGCCTTTCCGCCCCTTGCCCCCTCACCCAACCGCCCCCCAGGCACCATGATGGCCAGATTGGGGGAAGCAGATGTGGGAAGGAGAGGGATAAACTGAGGAAGGAGGGTGGGAGGTTTGGTATCAGAGTGCTACAGGGGTGATAAAATGAGGCAGGAGGTGAATCGGAGACCAGCCACCAGCCTGGGCAGTGGTGCGGTCTGGGGTGTCTAGACTGCGGGGGGCGCTTGTTTCTTTGGGATCTGGATTGGGGGCATCTTGGCTCCGGTCCCAGGTCCAGGGCGTAGACAAGCTTTAGCCTTTGTGGCGGTCGAGTGAGGGTTGACAGATGGGAGGGGTCTGACTTTGGGGCTGGTGAAATGGAGAGCTTTGAGGGGGGCTCGATTTCAAGGGAACCAGTTGTGGGCTTGCGGGGGCTAGATGGGGTGGGACAGATGAGGGGTCTACATTTGGGGGTTTCTTGGGGGTCTGCTCTTGGGCAGTCTATGTCAGGGGCTTTGGGGGGGTCTATATCTAGGGGACTCCTGGGGGCTCTACATGTGGGGGTGTTTATCTGTGGGATCTATTTTTTGGGGGTATTACATCAGGGGCTTTTTGGGGATGTATATCTGCAGGGTCTATATTTGGGAGGGCTAGACTTCAGGGGGCCAACATACATAGGTTTTGGGAGTCTAGAGACCTACCAAGGTAGGTCGAGGGTGGGGGGGTCCAGGTTTTGGGTAGATTAGGGTCTAGATTTGAGGGGTATCTCCAGACCCCTCCCCTCCACCCTAACCCCTTCCCCTCTCCCCCCGCCTGCAGCCACCCCGGAGCCATGAAGGAATCTCCCCTCCAGACCAAGAAGTTCTGGGGGCCCCCACCCGGCTTCGGGGCCCCCCCGGCACCCCCCAGTGGCACGACCTGGCAGCCCCCCAAGCATGGCGGGTGCTTTGAGGCTGGGCGCCGCCTGCCCTACACTCAGCAGCAGCCTCCCGGCTTCGAGGATGCGCGGTGGGGCCTGTGCGTGTCCCACCCACCTGCGCCCGCCTGGCCCTTCTCCCCTCGGGGCCGCCCCCCGCCTGCCCGCCGGAGGGGGCTGCCCCCACGCCGGCGATGGAGGGGTCTGCGGGCCTTGGGCATGCTCCTTTACTCAAAGAGCCCCTCATTGGCCTTCCACTGGCGCCTCTGGGGCAAGCTGCCTGCGCGTGGACGGCGACGGGCAGGGGGTACCAAGCGGGCCCGATCCTCCCTCTCCCTGTCCCCGGGGTCGCAGGCTGAGGAGGACCCTGGTGTGGGGGACCCGCCCTGCTCCAAGCCCCGCCCAGCTGGTGGGGCCTACGCAGCGCTGCCCCTGCTGGGGGCACTGGTGGGTGAAGATGGGGGCACCGGGGCCCCTCCCTGCTACGCTGAGCTACGCCGGGTCAGCTTCGAGTCCCCTACTGAGGAGGATGATGCTGCTGGGATCCCTCCGCTTGACCGCTCGCCTGGGGGAGGGCAGGAGCCTGAGCCAACGCTGGATGGGGATTCAGGTACCCCTGGGGTGGGGGATTGGGGGGGATGGGGGCTGTCGGGTATATATGGAGGGAGAGGGGCTATCTGTGGGCTTGTGAGGGGAAGTAGGGGCATGTGAGGGGGTAAGTGGGGGCTGCC